AGATTAGCCTGGATTTGCTCCCACAGTCTGTCTTACACATCCCTTCCTGTTCTTGGAGCAGCTCCACCCAAGCACCACTCCCACATCTGCAAAAGGCCGTATCATCCACACAGTCAGTTGCTGGAACCAGGGCTTAATTTACACAGCCAAGTAGTTTAACACAGCGTGCTCTTAAAATGGCAGAAAAGAGAACAGAATTCCGTGCATATGGATGAAGTCAGCAAAGAGAAAATAACCTCAGATCTAATATTTTTTTCAATATATGTAAATTTAAGGAGATATATAGTGTATGATCTCCACTTAACAATCTCAGGTGAGAACAGGACATGAAGCTAGCATGGATTTCAGGGGAAATAAATATAAAGACTTATTGCCAAAAGGTAAATATCGACCAAAGCTAAGATGGGTTCAGTACTTATGGAACAATAAATCACACACACAAAAAAAACAACCTCGAATCAATATATGTGCTGTAACAATCTTTCTAAAGGCATGACTAAAATTTCACCTTCAGTGGATGTCACTCAAACCACAAACAGAAGCCATAGGAAAGTTTAAGTATCTAACTGTAGTATTCTAAGAATAAGGAATGATCATGTAAAATCAATATTATGAAAATGGTTTATGATTCCTTTTCTTTTTTTTAAGTCACTCACTGCAATTGCAAAGAACTTCCACCAAATTATCAAAAATTAAGGCAGCAGGGAGCATATAATGTTATGCTGCACACAGTTTGGCAGCAGCCTGAATTGATGTGCTTTTTCCCATGGCTAAAATGACTGGCTATCGTTAAGCTTATGCAGAATATTTTCCATACTAAAAGCTAGTGGTAACAACAGGATTTTGCATGCTATTGCAGAATGGTCAGATTTGTAGCATATAACTGCATATGTTTTTCATAGCCTGCATTTTTCTGAGATTTGTGTAACTATTAGTAAAGGTGAAGAATTGAGAAATGAAGGAAATGCCTACTAAGGGAGGGTCACCATTGGCTAATGAGACACGAACATTGAGCAAAGGACAGGAAAACTGATAGCTCCAGAAATAAGTAGTTTAATAAGTAGTTTTATTTACCATAGAAATGTTTGGGCTGGAAGGGATCTTAAGGATCATCTAATTCCAAACCCCCTGCCACAGGCAGGAACACCTTCAATTAGACCAGGTTGCTCAAAGCCCCATCCAACCTGGCCTTGAACACTGCCAGGGATGGAGCAGCCACAGCTTCTCTGGCAACCTGTGCCAGGGCCTCACCACCCTCACAGTAAAGGACTTCTATTAATGTTTAATCTGAATCTACCCTCTTTTAGTTTAAAGCCATTCCTCCTTGTCCTGTCCCTGCATGCCCTTGTAAAAAGTCTCTCTCCAGCTTTCTTGTAGATCCTTTAGGTACTGGAAGCCCTGTCTTAGTGGATGTCATCTTGGGGAAAGTATGGAATTCATGAAAGGTTCGGGAAGCAGACAGTAACTACAGAATATTATTTTTGGAGGGCAGAAGTGCATTGAGTGCAACAAATTTCTGATATAAAACATTCCTGTTAAAAAATGTTATAAAGATGTTGGCAGGGTGTCACAGAGCCATAGGTACCCGCAGATCCTGTTAAACTTTACTGTAGCCCCACATACAAGAGCTTCTCAACTGGAAGGACAGAGAAGGCAGCAGGAGACTCTGGAAAATATTTGGCAAGTCCTTCACTGGTGTTTGCAACTCTGGGAGGACATAAGGGTGCTCTGAAGCCAGGCAGCTCATCCCACTGACCTCTGACAGAGCAGCACAGCTTTGTGCCAGGCTGAGGGAGGGAAGCACACTTGTGTGGCTCAGCATGGCAAACCTTCCAGGAGAAAGCTTGGCGATGTGGGGCTTTCTCACTCCTTCTTCTGATGCTTTTTTTACTGTCCATGGGGCTATGATACCATTTTCAACACCCTCCAAAGCTGCAGTAAAGGCAGAACTTGTCGCAGAGGCTATGCCTCTGTGAGTGGAGTCTCACACTTTTAAAAAGGAAGAGGGAGGAAGGAACAGTACACCAAGCACACCTTCTGCCTAACTGGGAAACAAACAAGTGTACCAGTTACAGATATGCTAGCCAGTACAACTAGATATCTTTCTCATCAGCTGTTATACAACTTCAGTTGAACTGCTTGCTTCATGATGGACTTATCACAGATACCGGAGATACTGACCGTGCTGAAACAGATCTACACCAGCAGCAGCTGCATGTCCAAAGAGGCATCTCTCTGCAAAACATGACTATGCCATCCTCTGCTACTAACACAGTTCCACCACTCTACCTCCATCCCAGCAGCAGACTAAGAGATGTGTTAAACCTTACAGCAAACCTGTCTCATACTGGGCTGCCACTAGAAGGAATACTAAAGAGCTCAGAGCAGAGCAGGCAGAGATATCATCAGTTCATGGGCTTTTCCCTCCATGTGGGTTTAATTGCTAAGGAATGGTGAAAGCATAGCTACTTTTTGTTCAAGCAAAGCTGCTGAAGAATTTACTGACAAAGCTATTTTTCAGTGAAAAATTAGGGGATTGTATAATTTATGTTTTACTGCAGAATGTATCTGTATGGATTTTTCATAGGAAACCCATAAACCACAGTCTCTTCACCATGAAAAAGAAATATAATGTATGCCCTTCCTTTTTAGACAACTATTTTCCATTTACCAAAACCCAAAATGTTGTGGCTGGTCTGCAAGAGCTGAAAAATTTCCACTGGAGAAAACTATTCTCTTGATGTTTCTCTCTGACAGCAAAAAAAAACAGTGCTGCAGCCCAGGTGTGGAGGATCTCTTTGGAATGTGGGTGTCCAGAGCTGTCACATTTGGATTTCAAATGGGGACAGAACTGGCCCCAGAATTAATTGCGGACCAGCACAAAAAAGTTAGGAATGTTTTGTGGTGAATTTTTTTCCATATATGACTTCAGCTAGACTCTTGGCTCTCAGCCATTCTAAACAAAAAATCCTTTCAAAATTAGAGTGAACTTTGAAAGATACGTGAGTAAGACAGACTGCAGAAACATAAAAGCACGGGATAGAGCTCCTAAATAACACCAAGTAAGAAGGAATGACACTGGTTTTAGGTTTTTCATATCACTCATGATCTATGCTTCTCAGTCAGTTATGTATATCTTTTTAATAGAGGCTTCAAGGAACATATTCTTTAATAATCCTATTAGAAAAATATTATGACACAGAATAGCTCAAAATACCCTTCTCCAAAATAAAGAGTACTGTCCCATCCAGAACAGTAAACCCCATCATCTACTGGCAAAGAAAAATGACTTTGAGCCTAGCATTTAGTTCTAAGAAAAGATCATTGGTTTGGTATGCAGTCATGCTCTTTTACTTACTTGTTTTTAAAACACAAGTTTAAAGCAAGGCAGTTACATAACACATGGCACAATTAAAGGCAGATTTACGTTGCCATGAAGCAGAATTAGTAGAGTCTTGCTCTTTAAATTCAACTGGCAAGCATTTGTCTTTTTTACGTATTTCAGCATCTGCTGGAAGCTGCAGGATGTTCCTGAAAAATACTTAAAAACCTTTATATTATTTTTTTCTTTTACTGGAAAAGTACTACAGGAAATACTGGTGCTAGCCTGCAAAATATAAATGCCCACAGATAAGTGGATTTCTGCAGAGGCAGTATTTGGAGTGTAAAAACCTGTACTGGAGAACTTCATCCTGAACAGATCACTGTAGCAATATCCAGCACAGTCATTTATATTTTTTTCCAGGTCACAGCTGAGTTTGCCATACCCACTTCCTTGGCCATTGAAAACAGAAGTATTTCACAGACATGTTGCACATGGTCCCCAGAGATGCCATCTTTCCTCTGCAGCCCACCTGACATTAGCAAAGCCTGCAGACATGATGTATTTTGTCACTGAGATGGAAAGGAATGGCTGAAAGGTGCCTGTGAAACCAGATTAAAATAAAAGAGTGAGGTGAAGATAATCTACTATGTCCTGGTACAGCCTGCCAAGAAGAATATATGAACCTCATTTTCAAGAAAGTTTCTTAAAGGAACTTGAAATTAGTGGTGGAAATTTTCAGCAGCCTCAAGCATGCTAAGTAATTATGGTTTTATCTGTCAAACTACTCTGGTTGGTTAAAGCACAAAGCAAAACTGATCTCTCTAGTAACCCCAGGAATGTATTACAAGCCTGAATGATGTAAGCAGCACTCCCTTTAGCTTGAGAAATAATCAACCACACCATTTTTCTACTGACAGAATGGTGACCTACGTATTTTTTTCAAAGCCTTCCAGTTACAAAATTGACTTCCAATAGAAGACCAAACTGAGATCAGAGTTTCACTTCATACCTCCTAAGGTGATCAAGAGCATTTAAACATGGTCAGTGTATATACAACTGATGCTCAAGGCTCCTCTACCAATCACAGTGGAACTCTACACAACAAAGCTGCAGTTCCCTGTGCAAGAGATCAAACTTCTTCAGTAGCCTGCTTTAACTGTGGTTCAGATTTTAAAAGGAACAAAGAACCAACTGTAATTTAACCCAGCTTCTGCAGCAAGTGCAAAATGTTCTTCTGTATCATGCTCTTTAACAAGCTTACAGAACAATCAAAACAATACCAATGGAAAAAGCATACTTCAATGCATACAGCTTTTCTTTAAGAGAGAAAATGAGAAGGAACCAAATGTAGCAGGTATTTGTTTTGTTATTAAATGTTCTATTGAAAATCTCTCAGTTACACTGATGAAGTTGATGTGAGAAGTCATCAGGAACCAAACGGATCTGATTTGTCAAGACTATGATGAATCACTCTGCTGCATTTCTTTTTTTTTTTTTTTTCAGAAGGATGTATCTAATGGAAGAACCATCTAATTGTGGAAAATTAGCTGCACAACTGAGAAGGGCTAGAATTTGGCTTCTATGTTGACTCACATTGAGAGTTTCTATGGAAGAATGCTGGATCAATAGCCAACATTTAGTAACTAACGAATTAACTAAGTCAAATTATTCTTACTGTGATAAGGGCCCTCATGCCTGGGTTCTCTCATCAGCCTCCTGTTTTCAAGGACTGTGACTGTGTATCCATGTTTTGCCAGGATGCGCTGACAGAGCTGACGGTCGGTTTCACGGTGGGCAGGAGGTGCATACAGAACTGCTCTTCTCCTATGGCTTCCAAAGTACTGGAGAATGGCAGTGTCGATCTACAGCAAATACAATGCAAAGACAGTGGCTGTAAGACAGGACACTCCTCAGCAGTATAATACACAGTTGTTATACTTTTCACAAAAAGAAACTAGTAATTTACTGTGACAATCCAGGAACTATTTCTACTGTAATAAAGAATTCTCTTTATATCAGGGACTTCTGACCACAAATTACATTTTGTATGCCTCTCCATTTTTTTTCTACCTCATTTTAGACCAATATTTCAAGGGCTTGAAAGCTCAGGGTAACAACAGAAGATCTTCAAACCCTAATCTTCCCTTCACAGAAAAACCTTTGGCTGAAATCTGGGTGGCTCTGGTAAGCTAGTAACAGTACTTGCCAGCCAACTTTGACTGTGGCCTCAGGCTGATCTGTGGGTCACCTAGCAAAGAAGACTTGGTGGGTCCCATGTAAAGTGTTCCAAGGAACATGGGTCCTATGCAGATGCTAAATGCATGGTTCTGAGTTCTGCTGTGCAGCATGATTGAGTACTGAGGTAAAAGCATGCAGAGGATAATCCTAAACAGTACTGTAGATTGCTGTGCCTATGGAAAAATAAAAGTAACCTTGTCAGTACCTTATTGCCTTATTAGTCCAAAACAATACATCCTCCAGGAGGACTGGCAGAGAGACTGGTATATAGGTGCAAATGGAGAGGTCTCAAATGAATCCCAAATTGGGATTGTCTCACATTCACTGTCTTTCCACACAGTGCCTAAGAACAATGGCATCTAGAGGAAACCCTTACTCTGTATAATAGCCTGGAATATGAGCTTCTTACAAGAAAAAGTGGAAAAAGAGCCACCCCAAACACACAGAGATAGTGTGAGCTTGATACTAAGTTCTGAAAAGAGCAAATTAGTGGGCCACTGTCATCAGGTCCCTAGGAAAGGGGAATAACTTGTGTCTTACATAAATGTGGTAGGTTGACCCTGGCTGGACACCAGGTGTCCACCAAAGCTGCGCTATCACTCTCCTCCTCAGGTGGACAGGGGAGAGAAAATACAACAAAAGGCTCTTGGGTCAAGATAAGGACAGATCACTCATTAGTTACTGTCATGGGCAACACAGACTCAACTTGGGGAGATTAATTTATTCCAAGTCAAGTCAGAGTAGGGTAACGACAAAAAAATCTCCAAATCTTAAAACACTTTCCCCCTAACCCCTCCCTTCTTCTCGGGTTCAACTTTCCTCCTAAATTTTCTAATGTTTCCCTCACATATTCTTACTCCTCTCTCCAGCTGAAGTCTCACGAGTTTTTTCCCCCCCTTCTTATCTGTGTTATCCCAGAGGCGCTACCACCATCACTGATGGGCTCAGCCTTGGCCCAGCAGGTCCATCCTGAAGCCAGCTAGCACTGGCTCTGTTGGACGCAGGGGAAGCCTCTAGCAGCTTCTTGCACAAGCCACCACTGTAGCCCCTCCCTGCTACCAAATCCTTGCAAACCCAACAAAATACGGCATAAAAATAGGATGTGCCATGTGGAGACAGGTTACTAATATCTGGAATAGCCTAGTTGTTATTTTGCAATAAAAACACCATTAACAGACAAGATTTTCCTTCGGTGAATTTTTTTTTTTTGGATTTAGCATTGAAACATGGTAGCATTTAAGCGATTAACTTCAGGACATGAAATTAGTTCTTGGCAAGTTCATGAATTTCAACCTACCAGTAGTTAGCAATATGTCCTTTAAAAACTATGATATTCCATAACTTCTAATTTTAGTAAGCTTATCACTGGACATACAAAGTGCTACACAAACAACACACCACTAGTTTGTGCCCAGTACACCCCACTGACAAGACAGATGTTTTGATATAAATGTATGTCATTCAAGATGCGTCCAGTTGTTTACAGGACCAGGCCTGTAAAATAAATACATTTTATCTCATGATAAGTTCACTCCTCTCAGCAGTCTGTTCCCCAAGTACAAGATGCAGTTTTAAGTTACGTTTGGCTGATGTGTGAGCTCCTCTGTGGCAGTGAGGAGCACGAAGTATTTCAGAGCCCTGAGCCTCTGACGCCACATTTGCTGTTGCTCCAGAGCTGATATGCCCTTTGGAAAGGGTCAGCATCATTGAGGGGACCCTGAAAAATATCAGTATGACACTGTCAGAGCCTTCCACGAGTATTTGCTAAATGTGCAACCCAAGCTACTTTAGACACTGGGATATTCAAGGCTGATCACATGCTGGCCGGAAGCAGCACAAATAACACAGGGTGAAGTCACAGGAACTGCATTAGTTACTCTGTCAGATGTCCTCACTGGCATACCAGCGTTTTTAAAACACATTAATTGGGCAGCAAGTGTCTCAGATCACCCTTCTCGACCACAACACCTGCCATTCTTTCCACTTCTGCCTTTGCACCTCCCTCCTCTCCTCTTCTCTCTTTCCTGCTCTCCTGCAGTGCCAGCAGCCGCTGGCAGCCTTTCCTCTCTATTTCCTGTCCTCCGTCCCTGTTCCCAAATCCAGCCCTTGCCCCAGCCCCGCTCCTGTGCTCCCTCTTGCTCCTCCTCCAGGCAGTCCGGCCAGCCACTTCCCACTTTCTATTCACTTGCCTTGCGGAAGAAGCTCAGAGGATCGGGACACCTCTCACTTTATTTTGCATGCATATCCAGTTTTGCATCCCACGTGCTGCAAGGGGCAGCGTTGTGGGGTGAACTGAGGACATGCGAGGCGCACAGAGGGGCTGCAGCCCAGGACACATTGCTGTTTGGTTTTAACCTGCAGCTGCGGCTCATCCTGCTCCCATCCCTCCTGGTGTGGCTGGGGGTGCTTTGCTGCCTGCTGTGAGGGTCCAGCCTTGGACTTGGTAATGCTTTGCCTCCACCCCTCCTCACTAACAGATATCACACTTGTATCGTGCTACAAAAATACAGCTTTCTTTGTGAAAGCAAAGCCTCCTGCAGTGTTACACCTTAAGTGCTTTGCTTCAACCGACGTTAAGAGCTTCTGTCTCAAGCACCCAGGAATGACTATTTTCCAGTGTGGGCAATACTCCAAAGACGGCTCTCGCAGGGCTCACCCCAGCCTGGCCACCAAGACCCAGGGTGCTGGCCAGGCTTGGCGCTGAGCAGCACCCATGTCGCTCCTTCTGCTTGGCTGCTAAGGCACAGGGGACAGGAGCCAGGCGGCCTTGGGGCATCCCAAGGACCCCTGGGATCAGCCTGTCTGCAGCAGGATCTGCCAGGGAGCAGAGTGCACCCTCCCGCCTCCATGTGAGCACTGATGCATTTCCACCAGCTCCCCGGGGACCAGCAGAGATGTTTACAGCACTCGAGTTTGGTCATAGCAAATATTCAAGAGAGCATTGATAGCAGCACAAAAACCACAGCAGTTCAAGCAGCAGCAGTAACCTGGGTCACTTCCACAAAACACAAAAGGCCCCGGGCGGCTCCATGTGGCCCACACAGCAGCTGGCTCCTTCCGGGCACCTTTCGTGGGTGATTGCAGTGGCCCTTGCAGGACAAGCACAGGCTAGCTGCTTAGAACACACAGTCCAGAGACACATAAAATCCCCCAGGCTGCTGGTGCCCAAAGCATCCCGATTCAAGGCTGGGAGGGACTGGGCAGGCCTGGCTGGGGACATGCTGGCCTGCATCCCCAGCCTCCCCTCCCGCCACCCAGGCGCTGGACCCGAGATGCTTTTATCCACAGCTTCCCCAAAAGCCACGAAGAGATCTCTAGGACACTGTGGTCCTAAATTTAACAGCTTGACCTGATGTCTAATCCGGTACTATTAAATAATATGAAGTAGCTCAACACCTTTTACGGTGTTTGCTTGAGATCCATGCGTAGTGTTGCCAAATTTATTTCCTCTGCCCTTTCAGAGCTATTTGCAGTCCAGGTTACAAGATGCAATGTGTCCTCTGTTTTCTTGCCAAACCAGTGCACTGTAACACCTTACATTTTCTTCTTTTCTTCTAAACTACCCATTAGCTACATAGAAGTTAAAATAATTCTGCCCAACTGCATGCTTATAGCAAGTGATTCCATATATTTTTCCAAAGCTCTCTATAAAATGCCTTACATCACTGGCCATGCTGATCTAGTTAGTACTGGATGTTTTTCAGAATTTCCAATGTTATAGCAATGGCAGTCATGTTTATACACTTAAAAAGAGTCTTCTGGTTTTTATAAAATGTTTCTCAATCATAAAAATGCAGTCTGGGCAGAGAGCTGGTATAAAAGAAGCAGAGTGCAGTAGATGAAAATAAGCTGGTCACATATTTCCATGTTTTATGGTTCTGACTTTTTTGGCATTCCTGCAACTTTAATGGGCAGCAGGCTTAGACCAAAAAACTGACTCCATAAAATTTTGGATATTAGAGAATAATTGTTGAATGGTCCAATGTTTTCATATCCCAACCATTTTTTAGCTCTTCCCCAGTTTTTCCAGGCTATTTGTTAGGAGGTCAGTTTATTACAGGTTCAATACATCTTACGTGAAAGGGATCAGTCAAGAGCATCTGTGGCCCATGTCTCTTACCTAGACAATAGTATGGCTGTCTACACAGACATTAATGAGGCTTTACAGCAAAGCTAAGATTTCCCATGTGATTTAGGATGAGGCCTGTGTCAGTTTTGACATGACATACCTGCTTTTACAGCTTGAAAACCACTGCACTTAGCTGAGGTTTCTGAGTCACTGACCTCATTTTAGTGCAGTAGGCTGTTACAGATGACCCACAGCCTTAACAACTGGTCTAAACAAACCACAATGGGCAGAAAAGTGCTAAAAATGCATTAAAATGAAGTCTATGATTTTGTTTTCAGTTTATGAAAGAACATGAAAAACGCAAAAGAAAACAAATTTAGCTCCATAAAATTTATTATGAATTAAAAAAGTATTAAACTTCTATTCCTCTGAGATCTTAACAAATGAGATAAACAGTCCAGTTTACATAATATGAATGCTCAAGAATTACGTAACCATCCTTGTCTGACTGAAAATAGACTTCTGTTATCTGAGTTGCAATTCTTAGTTCTGTCT